CCGCTTGTATTGGATGATAGAAGAGGCTCAGATGATCTTTCCTCGACCGGTCATACATCCGAAGGTGGTCGGACGGTGAATGTGGTTAATGGTAGACATATTTTGAGCTTTTAGGGGTAGTTTGGTAATTTTCTAGGCATGCCATATGAATAAACATTATTCACCCCGATAGGGGTATTTTGGTCATTTTTCATACAAAAGGCAATTTGGTCATGTTCGGTGGCATTCCAAAGGGAATCTTGGTCACTTTTTAGTGACTACTTGGTTTTTTTTCCTTATCTTTTTTAATTATTTTTTTATGTTATTTTGTAATAATGTTCAATTTTATTTGTGTTATAAAATATAAAAATATTTTTTTTTGTAAATTTTATCTTAATATGTGGATTTTTATTTATTTGTGATGTTGAACCAACGAGTCTTTTATTTATTCGGGACGGATGGTGGTTTCGATATATTTTTTCTAATTTTAAAAAATGCCAAAAAGAAAAGGAAAAACAAGCAAGAAAAAGAATAAAAGAGCTAAAGAAAAATATAAAAAATGTTCAATTAATTTAGCAAGTCTCCTATCCGATAGGGATCAAAGTTATTAATTGAATTAAATTAATCACCTTAATAATTAGGTCATTCTCTAGCTTATCGATTATGATCGAATTCGATGTTAAATTGACGAAACTCCTAGCGACGGTGTCCGATGATCAATTTAATATGATGCCATAAATAAAAATAAAAAATTTAATTTGGATTAGGTAATAAACTTGAAATTTTGACTTGAGAATTAACTTGGTAAAAATTAAAGTTTTAAGAGATAAACTTTTAGGATTAGACTAGACGTGGTGTATTTCCTCGAAAGGGTGTCTTTAGGTGACTAATATCTTTACGAAAGCATAATCCACTCCTTATCCCGGATCTCTAAACTAGTGTCATTTTTAGGTTTTTTAGTTCTTTTAGTGTAGGTGAAGACTTCAAAATGTGGTTTAACTCACATCCCCAATAAATAAACAAAAGAATAAAAATATATAATTTTTAATTAACATTTTTTGAAAGTCCCTTAAATATCAAGTATTGAAAATATGGCAACTTTGTTAGGGATTTAGAGTTAGACCATAGGTTCAGTCCTTTTAATTTATCTCCTTTATTTATTTTTTTCTATTTATTCTTCGAGTTTATTTATTTTCAAGTCATTTATTTTTGTCATTTAATTTCCACTTATTTATTTTATGCAATTTAAGATATTTAATTTATGCCATTTACTTTTCTTGTATTTTAATTTTTGTACCTATTTATTGTGAACTAGGTTAGATGTATTAGCTTTGAATTATTACACAAACCATAAAAAAATTCTACAAAAATTCTAGACTTGAGCTAAAGCCCTAATAGGATTTAGATAAAGATTCAAAGGCAAGTATAAAGAAAATTTATCGATGCTCATTCGGACTTTCATTGGGATTAGAAGTCAACCTATTCTTAAGAAAATGTGGACTGATCTTTCCATACCTCCTAATGTATAATTCAAAGCACACCCACTCGTTGACCTTATTGGTGAAGAGACTCACAAGGTTAAGATGATGGAGAAACCCAACTCTAACAAGTTATTTGTCATTGAAGAACACCTAAGGGATATAAGGGTAGCTAATATGTATCATCCTAGAAGAATAGCTAAGATGTGTACTGGTGTTAGATGTGGCAATTCCCAAGAAATTTAGAGTGCTTGAGTACACGGGCATTCGGTGCCTAATGACTATCTATAGGTGTACTTGTAGCAAGATGGTCGAGGCGAGTGCATAATGAAATTGTTTATACATGTCTTCCATGAGAGCCTAAATGGATTAGCTTTGAGTTAGTATATATGAATGGATAATATCAAGATCAAAAGATAGATGGATCTAGCCAATGATTTCATAAAATAGCATAAGTTTAATATGGAAGTTACTCCAAACTAATCTAGTTGACAAGGTATGAAAAAGTTCAAAAAGAAACCATTAAGAAATATGCCCGAAGGTGGCGTAAGGTGATAACTCATATTTATTTACTCAAAAACATCATACTTTAAATATTTGATTGGAATCCCTCCTTCAATTTTATTGACATTTTCATCATTACTAAAAGGACGAGAATAAACAATCAAAGCTCGGGAAGGTTCTTAATGGTTACGAGAAGAAAAAAACGACAATACCATAAAGGATGGTGAAACATACCAAGTTAGGATTAAATCCTCTCGACCCAAAGATCGATGGAGTAATCGAGGAAGATATGGCATAATAACTACCACATTCCCAACTCAAACACGATACGGATCCCACCAAACATCCAAAACCCTACTTCTATCCAATATAGATCCAACCTAACAACCATAATAGTCGCCACATTCCCAACTCAAACACAACCATATCTAACAAACCAAAATTATGATATGTGCTCACCAAATCAATTGAATCAAACAAGTTAGCTCATCAAGCCACTAGGCCCTACCAAAATGCTTTAACATTTAATAAACCATACAACCGAGATTACGAAAAGGAGTTTGAACAACTACCATCCCTATATTTCTCATTGGGTGAAATGTTTCAGCACCCGGTAAGTATTGGACCTATCATCTTAATTCTTAATAACCGATGCATCCTCCTTATCCTCCGTGGTACAAATAAGATAAGAGATGTGAATATCATTTTTACGCTGGTGGGCATAACATTGATGATTATCTAGCTTTTAAGAAAAAGCCATTGGATTTGATCAAGTAAGATTGGATCAGTTGTGACAATGGTCCGTATGCTCCCAATGTAAACATGAACCACTCCCAAACCATACGAGTTGTCAACATAAGGGATGAAGAAACTAAATGAGCTTGAAAATTTATAATGAAGATGCATGGTCATAATTTACAACTACGGTCTTTTAATTTTTATTGAATTTTGAATTCTATTTCTCAAAAAATCTTGTTATGAGTGGATTGAATCATATCCTTAAATGAAAAAAGTAGTTTCTACTCTTTTGTAATTTTATATTGTCCGATCTAAAGTCAAGATATGTCTATTTAAAAGTATTATTTGGCATTACATTTTCCTTGATTGAGAAAATATAATGGCAAATTCATTCAAAAACATTCAAAAAAATTGATTAATTTTCAAAGCATGACGAGATAGATGCTTGAGATAATCCTTCAATTCATTGAATCTAAAAATACATTTTCTTTTCCTAATAAACTTTATGAGAAGAAAGTAAGGGGTAATCCCTCTTTTGTTGAAATTTTTTTTTTAAAAAAAAAAGTCTTTTTTTCTTTCCCAAATAAACTCTTGAAGAAAAGTTTTGGTTAGGAAAACCTCATGAAGCCCAAAATTGAAAGATTGAATGATTGGTGTCCTAAATAATGATGAACAATTCATCTTCGAGTCATAATTTCAAATTACATTCATCATTTCTCTTTTTCGATTAAGCTAAGGGGTTTCCAAATTGATCATTATTTTTCAAAAGAGATTAGTTTTTATCGGGATTATGAGATGAAGAAAGATCATCTCTCAAAAAAGTTTTATCTCTTTTTTTGTCTCACTTTGCGCCTTGATGATTTTTTTCATGATAACTTAGGCTAAGATCACCCCTCACACTAGGGGATATAATGCAAAATCCATAAATGGTAGATGAAACTCTCAAAAATTTATATCAAAAGAACTCATCAATGATTTTAAAAACAAAAGGGAACATGAAAGCAAAAACAAAAAGAAAAAAATAAAAGAAAAAAAAAGGAAACAAAATAAGAAGAAAACATTTCTTATGTAAAATTATAAGTCAACATAAGAGTCAAAAATTAACAAACAAACAATGAGAGTTGAGGCTATGAAATACGATCAACAATCAAAATGGCAAAGTCACAATAGCAAGCCTACAAAATTTTTCTCATGGACATCAAAAAGACATAAGAGCCTAACCAACGCCTAAAAAGACAAAGTTCAAGCTGCATTGCCTAAAGAAATTTCTATGCAAACCAAAATGATCTTATGTCATAAGACCTTTAAACACCTTTGAGCCTCTATATATTCATTTTTTTTCGTAAGCCCCAATCATAGCTACATTATATGTTTTTATAAGCCTTTTTTGATCAAAGATAGTTTACTTATGTTGATTAATTTTAATCTTAAAAGAAAATGAAGAATGATTGAAAAACAAAGTAGAAATGATTAGTTGGTGAGTTGTTTGTTGTTTCTTTATGACACCAAATCATAAGTTTTCATCAACTAACTTCGAGGTGAAAAAACAAAAAAAAGGATCAAGATATTCTCTCGTAAGACTATCCTTCAAAATCTAGTTTTTCAAAATACTTTACGCTCAAACCTTTTCATTCACCAAAATGGTTTTATCATTGGACCGTTTGCCTTCAATAGCATCAAAACTAGTTTTTATACAAATGTTGCACAACCGTAACATATTTTGCATGTTTATCTTAACAACCCTTTTGAAGAAATTGCATCATTATATTTGAATGTCATGACTTGACTTTTCAACAATCAACTTGAACATTCTCTTGAATGAAAGTACTTCAATTAAAACATCTCCGTATTTCTTTCAAATAATTTGAATTGTATTAGGAGAATCGTTCAAGTTGACAACCAAATGTCTATTCAATTATCTTTCTCAAAAGATGAAGAAAATTTTAAGACTAACTTGTAAATTAAGGAGCAAGCATTAAAAGATAAAATATAAGTACAAACAATGGTTGAGCCAAGAGAGTGGCAAATTGTTTATCTCAACCGAGTATTTGAAAAGATCTCATGACCCGATCTAGATGGTAATCCAAGGACCTAACAACTCTAATCGAATTCAGCAACTAGTCAAACAATGACATCACCATGCCAATTGGAAGAACGATAATCAAAGTAGGTAAAGCCATCAAACTAGAGGGCAAAGAGCAGTCTTAAAAAGGATAATGATGCAACAAGAGTTTGACAAACAACCAAAACAGTTGAGAATGATCTCACGGAGTTAGATCATAAGAGGTAGATAGTTATCAACTACAATGCCAACACCATTCGGGAGAAGCCTACACCAATGCCAGCCACTACCCTTCCAACCATTAGGAACAAGAAAGATGGAGCGAATCCCATAAGAAGTGCATCGACAAGGAGAGTGGCTGCTGCTAGGACAATGGTGTAGCGTCTTCCAATATAATCAGATGTCCTACCAGCAGCTAGCGATCCGACCGATGGACATACATTAAGGGAACCTACCAAGATCTCCACTTAAATTGGTGGATCGTCAGGTGGTCCTCAATGTGAAGTATTGCACCACTCATCACCCCAATGTCTGCATGTAACAATTTATGACAAAAAGCTAGAGACAAAAACAGACAAATAAATAGTGCTAAATTCAATATTGCTATTTACCTTAATCTGACCTGCCTTTTTGTGCTCTAATATATATTTATTTTAAGCTCCTTCCTTCCTTTCATGGTTATTTAGGTGGAAGTCGTCGCATGAATAGGAAATCTCAATTGCAATGGAAAACGTACAACTCACCATAGCCCAAAAGAACAGAGTTTGTGGAGGCCAGAAATACAAGAGCATACTTGTTGATCGGAGTCTTCCTACGAATAGAAACATCCTGCACCTTCAGTCTTGGGAATTCTTCTTGAGAAGCCTCCTTGTGTTCTGTCTCCTTCCTTTCAATTTTCAGATCATTTTCTGAGGGCAAAGAAAGTTCTGAATCAGGAAGCAGGCGGTAGTGACCATGTTTGGCAGATTGGAGGCCATAATTGAATTGCATGACTGGAAGATTAGATAATTTATTTGGTGATATAGATCCACATGAATGTAAAAAGTCATCTCATAATGAAAAACATTAATTGGTTCATAGTTTGCATGTATAGTTGACATGGACACTAGATAGAAGTTAGCTATTGGGCTGATTGAATGAATTCAAAGAACATGATGGTTAATTGAACAAATTCAAAGATTATAAGGATTAGTTGAATAAATTAAAAATGTAAGGGTAAAAATAAAATAAAATTGATACAAACACAAGGATAATTTAGGAATTTTGCCTCATCTTTATTGATTTTGTTTTACAATTAACCTGGCCAAAGGATACACTTACCAGTAACATGAAAGTAAATAAAATCTTTCTACTGATTTCAATTTTTTTTGTATTTATACAGATTTTGATGAACGCACCTATTCCTTGGTCTCCAGTCCAACTTTCTTTTATGCATCTTCTCAATATACATATGTATAGGCTTTACAAATACTGGTTATAGGCCCTTCCGTTCCGGGTCACCGTAATTATATTTTCTTCTTACGAGTAATCTTTATTATCTAAATCGTCAACATTACCACTTCTCTTTTTTCTTTTTCTTTTTTCTTGGGAGGGGGGAAGGAGGAGGGCCTAATGACCTATATTCTCTAATGATCGTTGCATCAAGTTCTAAGGATTTTCTAAAAAAAAAAAAAAGTCAATGTCGTTGATATATTTTGTTTCAATTATAAAAATAATTATATAGGACATGCTTGATTAGATGGATATAGTAGGTGAACGGTATAAAAGAAAATCCACAAACATAGTCGTCGAAGATTGACAAACATCAAAAATAGAGTTGGTAGAACCAGAATAGTGTTTAGTGGAACTTAGTATTAGTGACTTGATAATTTGAAATAATGAAGTGCGAGAAAAATAGATTTATGCATTTCTATGCAACATTACAAAAAAAAAAAAAAATCAACTTAAATCGATATCTAAACTAAATATCAAAAGATGTTAATCTCAGAAGTTGTCTGCATGCGTCAATAATAACACCAATCGTAATTATACAATTTATAAAGAAAACAATTATTATAAAAAGTTATTTCTCATAGCGTAAATAATTAGTACAAATAATAAAATGATTGACAATGTAAACTAAATTAACATAAATGAATTAGATTCTCAAAAGTAAAAATAATATTTAAATTATAATTTAGATGGTGTCCTTTTCTACTGTTCCCGGGAAATAAAGAAATGGTAGTGCAAAGCTTAAGAAAATGCTAACAAGGATCTCATGTGCCTACATCACACTGAGAAATGGTAATGCAAATGAAGTCATGGCAGGCAACCCTTGACTTGTTGATGTTCACCTCTCATTTTAAAAGGTTTCATAACACAATTTAGCTGCTGCTGATACTCAAAAATTGTTCCACCATTCTTTATGAGCAGATCACATCTTTTTCTTGATGCACCAGGAGGTCCAGAGCAGATTAGAGGACAAGGATAGCAGTGTAAACAGTTAAGAATTCAACTAATTATGGAAAATGAATTATTTATGATTGATGCTATAAATTAATAACGGTACAATATTACATCTAAGAGGAAGCCAACCCTATGGTGGTGTCTCAGTGCTCTACTCAATTTGAGAACTCTAATGGAAATTAATATTTGGAGGTGTATGTTTGAAATGTTAGTTCTTTGGGAATCTCAACTTTGATGTTTGTTGTATACATTCAGATCAGCATGAGTATCCTTGTAGCGTTGACTAAGGTAAGCCCCACATTTGATTGGAGGAAACCTGGTGAAAGAAATACATTGAGCAGTTCATACAACTGATATGCACACTCTTAAAAGACAACGAAGAAATAAATATGCATCTTCATATTACAACAAATGGTCAGTAAACATTTGCATGAAATGGAATTCTTATATGCAAAACTGTACTGTGTGGAATTGAGTTAGCAGATGGAATAGAATTCAACATCTGACGTTATGTGCCACAACAACTAAACAAGTATCATGCTCAACTCCGGAAAGCAAGCATGTAGCTTAGGCTATTTAAGAACTGAATGCAATGCGATTTCATCTTTTGTACCATCCTGGTTTAAAGGCACTTGTTATATGGGTTAAGTATTCATTTGTCCACCAATCCCCAGTCACTTATCTCAAATCATTGGACATGAAATAATAACCATCTGCTATCTATAACAAATTCTTGTAGATGCAAAGCAAGCAGATGCCCAGTTTGCAACTGCAGTGATTTCAACCATGCTACAGAAATTTTTATTTTTGGACTTACATTGGGGGATTTTTTTCTGACTTGCAGGTTGGCAAGCATTCCACAAGACAATCATGACTAGGTTCCACAAAATAGGCAATCTGCCAAAGGAAAAAAGAAATGAGAAACTTAGAATTGCAAGAAACAAAATAAAAAGCTTTGAAATTATGGGAGCTTAGTCATTTAAAAGGCACATGAGGCCAGCAGCCTGAAACGTAAAAGGGCAAAAAAAATATCCTCACAGAATATCTCTCTTGACCATTCCCTAAAACTCTGTGCAATGTGGACCTGTGTAACATTATGTAGAGGACATGAGTTACTCCGAAAATGGAATTAGTGGAAATTACATAGAGCACATGTACGAAAGTTACTTGAAAATACAGTTGCTCCAGCGCTCCAGCATGTCACCAAGATTCACTATGAATGCTCTGTTCAAGATAAAACAAAGAGAAAAAGTATGTCACAATCCCAGGTGAAGAAACTATTTCTTCGGCGCAAATGTGTATTCTGCTGTACTTGCTACACATTTAGCAACATCAGAGCATAAAACAGAGTACAGATGAGCAGCGAATTGTTTGCATTCAATTATATAATTGCTCTCAAATAATATTCCAGAGATTGATTACACAATGTAATGGACAAAATGCTGGAGTAGAAGTGTTCAAGTGTTGTGAAACCAATAACTTGACTATAATCATGCTCACACTCCTTACAGCTCTCCAAGTTTGACCACATTATTTGCATCCTTTTCTTTTTCTATTGTCAAGTGAGGTAAAAGGATTCTTAAGTTTAAATTTGTTCCTGGAGTCTCATAACAAGTTTCCAAATTATTAAAAAACTAGACCTTGGAGACTTCTTCTATATTACTACTATCTCCTTGCAAACTGAATCTCATCGAACACATCAATGATTCAACAGCCATTTATTCATTAATCATTAATTCAAAGTAGTACTAATGGTTTCCATCAAGGCAGATGTTGCTCTACAGACTGGAATTAAACACCAGGCTTCCATTTCAAAAGATGTCAAATTTTGGTATGTAATTATTTACACAGTTGGCGGTAAAATACAGAGATGGAAATGGATATCTAATAGATGCCACGTTTTACTACAACTCTAGCACAACTGGTCCTACAATTATCAGTCAATTTCTAACCATAGAGGATTCAAAATCTCCAATAGTATCGTGGAGGCTTACCCTTTCAGTGGTGCCACAAATTCCCATACTTGAGGTTGAGCGTCTTTATCCTTGCATATCTGCAAGGTGATTGAAAGAATTGTAATAACTAAATAAGGAGTGAAAAATACATGTTATACATATAAAATTACAAATTGTTCATACTTGGAGGCCATAAACATCATCTGTGGCTAAGAGAGTAATCAGACCATAATCAGAATGTGCTCCAGCTCCATATAATCCCTTTGAAGGATCAGAAATCTGACCTGAAGACAAAACAATGAAACAAAATATAAATCATACTTGATTAGAGAATGGTCTATGCTACATTCCATGAACTTCAATTATATTCTTTAAGTTCAACCTGCATAGTGCAGTAAACGCATGACTGCAATCGGATGGCCTAGCATTTCTGGCTTATCAAAAAAATCAGCCTCCAGATCAAGTGCAAGTGCTATGATCCGTGCAACTGCTCTTGCTACCTCTCTGCATTTATAAGACACTGAAATAAAATTTCAAATGAAATAGAAGCCAAACGATGAAAAAGATCAAGAGCAAGCTTTTGAAGTGACGCAATTATGTCCTTGCATGACATGCAATCATGTGCATGTGCGGGGTATAACTCACAAGTCAAGCACAGATAACCGAAATTCGCATCATTTAAAAGCATCCACAACATTTCCAAATATGGTTTTGCAAGAGCTTACAATGTTTCTCGATGAAACTTTTCCATAGTCTGCCTCCAACCAGGCAAAATATCTTGGCCACCAACCACAAACAAAATAGAAAAATGGGAAATTGTCAATAACAAACTTTAATGTTTCACTAAAATCACAAAAAAAAAAAAAAAAAAAAAAAAAACTCGTGAATCAAAACGAAGAAAAGAAAATTGGAATACCTTCTTCAGGCCAAACATTTGGACCATAAAACGGTTTCTCAGCTTCAGGATCGTCTTCAGGGAGTTCAACTCCAATGTAATACCCCTCCTTATAATCTCCTACTATCCATATAATGCATCAAAAAACAAACAAATAACCAATCACTGTTTCCATTTAGGAAAAAAAAATAGAATTAAAAAGGAAAAGAGAAACACAAACGAAAAGAAACCAACCATGAACTTGATTATCAGGATCCAAAAGCTCATCCAAAACAGGGGTAAAGCCTCTGTGCTTTTCATTTCTTAAAACCTTCATCTTCTCACTTAATGGCAATTCAAAAAATTTCTTGCTCTGCGCAAACACCTCCTCCATAAATTCTGGGGTTATCCCATGATTTATCACGTAAAAAAATCCACAATCCAAGCATGCCTAAACAGAAGAAATAAAAAACAAACCAAATCATTTATTTAATAACAAAAACAACCAATTAATTATCAAGAAGAAATTAAAACTATAAAAATAGCAACATGAGAGAAAAGGAAACGAAAAAAGATTATTATTACTATTATTATGAATTACCTGTTTGAGAAGAGAAACAGATAGGTGAATATCAGGGTTGGAAAGATCGATGCAATTGAGGAACGAGACTTTGGTAGGCGCGGGAGTATCATTCTGCTGCTGCTGCTTCTTCTGCAAATTCTCCATTCTTTTTTTTTCTTTTTTTTTTATGAGAGTGCGAATTTCGAAGACCTCAAGTTTCGAAATTTTTCCTCACCGAACCAACTATTTATAGGCGGGGTAGAGTCCAGAAGTAGCGATGTCGTTTCCTTCTTCGTTTTTAAATTTATGCGAATGACATGACCTCTCGAGACCTTTTTCTGTTTTTCTTTTTTGGCAATTTTTGACGAGAGTCTTGATCCCATAAAAATTATAAAAAAGGACCTGTCTGCTAGCCCAATTGTCTATGGGAAACTGTTTTTAACAAACCTCTCATAATTACTTTTGACTTTTGTCCTTCATATGGTACAGAATGAGTAGATGCATCAGATCCTCCAGAGTAAATTATAAATTAGTCCCTCTAGTTTTAAAAAATAAATTAATTAATTTTTTTTAAAATTATTATTTAATTTTTTAATCAGTGTTGATCATTGTTAATTTAATATTATTTTTATTTTATAAAATATCTTATTTTTTATCAATATTTTTAATTTTTAATTTTTTTATTTTTTAAAAAAATCAAAGTAAATTAAAAAAATAAATTACAAATAGATTTAAAAACATAAAAACTAAATAATTAATTTTTAACATAAAAGATATTAATTTCTTAATTTATTCAACCTCATCCATCTTTTGATGGCTAGTAGATAAAGACACACCTTCTCTAAATGTTACCATAGAAGGAAAAAAAAAGCACATCCCATTGACATATTTAATGGGTATTTGCTATCCGGTAGTATGGCGTTTTTAATCTTAGGAGCATATTGGTGTAAAGTAGACATTTTTATGTTTCCAACAATAGTATAAAAAAAAAAAAAGATATTTTACTATTGAAAGGAAATTCAATTTAATAAGTATTGTTTTTAATTTGAAATTTAGAATTGAAAAAAAAAATGTTTTTAACCGATACAAATTGAATATATTTTTGGAGCATATTGGAAAATGTAATGTCTACTTTACACTGATCTGCTCCAAGATTACTGTTGGAAACAAAAATGTAAAAAACGTCTGTTTTACACTACTTCCAATATGCTCCAAGACTATTTATTGTTGGAAACAAAAATAATTGGAGATACATCAAAACCACTAGTGATGGGTTTGTATGGATTTTAATAAATAAGCTTTCATCAAAGATATTTGATCAAATTTTATTTTGTGTTTATTAAATTTAGTTAGCTTGATCTAATTGGATTAATTTATATTTAAGTGTGATATTTAAGTGTGAGATGACTAACAACTAAAATTTTCAAAAATGTTTAAAAAATAAAAACTAAAATAGAGATGAACATAAGAAATTATACTAAAAACTAAAATAAAATTGTTGATTTTACTATTCATTCATTATTTGAAATATTATTCAGCACTATCACAAATCACTATTCCTTTCACTATTTATGACATTATTGTAACATTTTGGTCCTCAAATTTTCTATATATTTTTTTTAATTTCAAACTTTAATTATATTATGATTTGGTCCTATTTTGTTTTAGTGTTTTTGTTAATCATTTTTATTATTTAAGATTTACTACTTTAATTTTTCATTTTAAAAAAATTCAATTTCAAACTTTAGTTATATTGGGATTTAGTACCATTTTGTTTTAGTGTTTTTTGTTAATAATTTTTATTATTTAAAATTTACTACTTTAATTTATCATTTTCTAAAAATTCTCATCCAATTAATTTAAAATTATATGCTCTTCAATTTTTCTATAATTTTTTTCAATTTTAAATTTTAATTATATTGTGATTTGATCCCATTTTGTTTTAGTTTTTTTTTTTGTTAATTACTTTTATTATTTAAAATTTACTACTTTAATTTGTTTTTTTTTTAAATTCTCATCCAATTAATTTAAAATTATATATACTAACGAGTTTTGATTTATTTTTCTATATATATGGATTTTGAAATAAATTTTTAGAACATGATAGTTAAATACAATTTTTTTATTAAAAAATTATATATATATACTCCTTTTAATTTCATATATTTTTATAGATTCATACCGTAAAACGGACCATCAAACTGAAATAATTTTTTAAAACGGTTTTATATATTTTATCCAACTCGCAGCGTAATACGAGTAAAAAAACTAGTGAAGGTCTAAATGGAACCAGCGAGTAATAGGGTTAATCGATCTATATACTCTCATATTTTTAAAAATATATATATATATTCTTATATGTATTTTTATATCTATATTTTCTCATACATGTTATTAATTTTGTCACTTTTTGAATAAAAATATCCCTTATATATATATATATATATATATATATATATATATATATATATATATATATATATATATAGTTATTTTTAATTTTTGTAATTTTTTGGGTTTTTTATAATAACTTTCAATTTTTAAAAATAATTTATATTTTTTAGTTTTTTAGATAAAATTTTCATTTTTTTAGATTTTTGCAAATTAATTTTCTTTTGGAAGTTTCAGGGTATTTTTGTTGAAAAAAATGATAAATGGATATATGGGTGAAAATATGAACATATGAGGACTTAAAAAAAAATCTTAAAATAATACAAAGAAGAATATGCTCATTGTATAAGAGTAGATGTACAGTAACACGTATATTAAAAAAGCGAATTCGAACTCAAATCTTCCTTCTGTTTTTTTTTGCAATATTATATGATTAGTGGATTGCTAGGAAATTGCCGTGTCTCCCCACCTTCCATGGAAGTCCCCTAGTCGTTTTGTTGGGTACTTTAGTTTCTGTTGGAATGTTTTTCAAATTGAAAGAAATAATTTACTGGACACTTTTAGTGGACGAAATTCCACAGAAAATAAAATAGAGGTAAAAAATGATTGCTCATGACGCAGCCAACCAACCAAGTGGACCAATTTTTCCCCTAGCGTTTTCTAGGAAAAAGAGAATTTTAAAGAAAGGAAGAAAAAGTGCCTTTGACGTCCTTTGATGCATGACAGGGCATAGAGACGGCTGTGGAAAACTTTTTTTTCTTTTCCAAGCGTAAAAAAGAAGCAGTTGGAGCCTGGAGGTGTCGAATTGTCCTTGCTAGGACGGCGAAACGGTCTAGCCCAAATCTATCAATAGGTAATAAATATAATGGAGGATTGGGTCCCGGCCCTTCCTTCTAGCCTAGGATCAAAAGAAAATCCGGCAGAGTTTTGACATGCCCACATGGGACTCGTTTACCACCCATTGGAAAACCTCACTGCAAATTAATTTACTGCTATTCAATTTTCCTCTCTAATTTAGCAGATGAAGAAAAGAAAAAAAAAAAAGAAGCTGAACTGAAATATTTTTGCATTTCTGGTTCGGGTTTTTTTTAAAAAAAAACCAATTAAACCAAATAAGCAAAATTATATATATATATATATATATTTTTTTTTTTAAGCCAACACTCATCACTCATCCCTTCCCTCACTTTTTTGTTTTTTCACAACAGAGATAGTACCCTAATAATATATTGGATTAAAAAAAAGGATATAAAGGGGGATGAATCAGCCTAACCTAACATATTAAAAGGGCAAAGAAGCCTAGACCCCTAATAGAAATATGGCCAAATAAAGCCATATTCAAAAATTACCAAAAACAATTATCAAACCATAGCTAAATAGTTGGGACTCCATAAACTACAAGAAGTAACATGCAAGAAGCATAACAGATCCTTGTCTAACCGAAGGCATACTAGCAATATCTTGAGCCATAACCCCTAATCTATAAAAAGATTGAACTAGAGCCGAAGCTGAATGATGCCTTGCCTTGTATGCTCGTACCGAGCCAACATAAAGCTTACGTGCATACTCGGAGTACCATTGAGGATAAATGGCCAAACCAATCCTTACGTAAAAATCAGCCATCCACTACTATCAAGTCCCAAATACCTCTTCCTCACTCGTTTATAGAAAAAAATATCTACCATGAGCATCCTCCCGTATAGCTTGAGCACGACTACTTGGAATGGCCGAAATCATGAGTGCTACTTACATGGATGAGTGTTGGAAGGCCCATGCCGTCAACCTATCTGCAGCATTATTCCCTTTCCCGAATACATGGTTAACGAGCACTACTTGGACCCATAGATGCCCAACAATCCCATGTAATATAAGTACGTTGTCAATGCAGATTTTGTAAGTGATCTAAGCTATGTAAAGCAAGAGAAGAATCAACCTCTATGCTTGTAGGCTAAAAGTTATGGAGATTGCATAATCTAAGTCCTTCCCAATGGCTAAAAGCTCCCTTTTGTTATTGGTTCCAACTCCAAAGAAAATAGAGAAATCCATCACCATTCTCCTTTGAGAATTACGTAGAACTCCTCCCCGCTACACATATTTCCCCTCGAAGCCCTATCCACATTTAGCTTTAAGGAACATGGAGGTGAAGGAGACCATCTTATCCATCTTCCTCTAGCCAAGAGAGGTGTTTGAAGTTGAATCCCAAGGACTTCGATACATGTACTCGTCATGGAAGGACAGGTGAAGCCTTCGGCCTAAACAATTTGTTTAGTTCAATCAATCGATGAATAACCTTTAGTTTAATTCTTATGGAGTTCATCACCTCACCTTCAAACATTGCCATATTATGTGCTAGCCATAACTCCCATATAACAAAATTGAAGACCAATAGCTAAGTGAAAGATTTTTATAAAGCCGAGGATTCTTTTGGACAACCACCAGTAGCCAATTGTCCCACCGATACTACCCCTAGTATTATGTCTAAGATGTCACCAAAGTAGCTCCATAGATACCTAGCCACCTCATTATGAATGAAAAGATGATCTTAGACTCCTCTTGTGGACAGTATCGTAGCATCTACACATAGAAGGAAGAGGTATACCACACATTTTAATCCATTCGTCTACTACCAAGGCATTGTGCATGAATTTCCGGACCAAGATTCCAATCTTTTTGGGAATCCATTTATTCCATAAGCTCCTCGACCACTCAAAATTAGGACCAGCTACCCTATTCTCCTTATGATGAACTTTTGCACTAAATCTTCCCAACTTAGC